GTGGTAAGATTGTTGCGCTGTTGATACTGGACTCCATCATCATGTTGTTGAGGGTGCTGAGGTTCTGTTGTGCTTTCTTCGAGATTTTATTTGAAATGGGTATACATGTGAAGAGGATCTTGGAGTTTGGGAAGGTTTTGTTGGCTGTGGCGATTAATTTCTGGGCTTGGTTAAAGGAGGTCTTTGGTATCTGATCACGGTTGTTGAGGCCTACATGAAGAATAATGGTAGTAGGTTTGGGATCATGGTCGTATGATTCCAGGATTGACTGTATGTGATGGATTTGGGCACCGGGGTAAGAATGTATTTCGGTGTCTGAACTGGTTTTGGTAATTCGATTCAGGTTAGATGATCCAATTATTAAGGTTGATTTCTTTAGAGCAGGTAGTTTCCATAATGATTTGTCCTTGGTTTGGTGATAATACGGTTTTGTAGCGGATATAATGGTCGTCGACGGTGTGATTGGTACTGGTTTGGTAGTTGTTAGAATTGTAACATTGGGAACGGACTGGGATCTGGTTCGAGGAAGGGAAGGTCTGGATACACGTCTCGACTTGGATGGAGACTGAGGGGTGGTTTGCTGGTCCAAAAACGCACAGAAGGAAGAAAGGTTGGCGGATCCCGGATCACGTGGTGAAGATTCAGATGGTGTGGAAGGGGAAGACGAGTCTGAAAGTGAAAAGAGAAGGGGTGTGCCCTCTCTACGAGAGCGTTTACCTATGTCTGCTGGACTAGGAGTAGGTGAACTTCGGGCTCGTTTAGGGGTTTGGTTCGGCAGCGTGGTGGCTCTAGATGGTGCAGGTGTAGTGTCCATTTCAGTTGGTAGAGATATGGTTACTCTGGTTTTTGTTTCGTTGATTGTTTGGTAGAATTTGGAGATTACAGATTGAGTGAGACGTTTCCCATAGGAGCGACGGGACCAGGACAGGGCATCAGAAACGATGCGGTCGACGGCAGGTGATGATAAAGACTTGGTACGAATGGTGGTCAGCTTCTCTTGAAGTGTGATTTGGTAATGGTCGATCAGGACCTGCGTAACCTTACAGAGCCATGTCCGATTGAGGGATCTAATATTCGCGTCGACAGCTGATGTTTTCATTGCTGGACGGATAAAACTATCCAACTCAGAGACTTTGCGTTTGAAGGTAAACGCTGGTTGGCCTTGCTGTTGAAGGGTAAGGATTGCCAAATGATGGAGGCACTGCAAAACTTGGAAGAACACCTTCACAAAGGGTTCTTCCTCCTTATGAGTGGGGACTGGTTGGCGTCGGTGGGCTGGTAGTCGTTTCTGTTGTTGGTCAGGTCGATGGTTACCTCTTGATTGGTAGGCTGTGTTGTAGGTAGGTCGGTGATGGGGTGGGATATAGCTGGATGGGTTGGTTGGTGGTCGGCGATTGGTAGGTGGTAGAGGTCGATGGAAGACAGGGCCGTTGTAGGGTACGTGATATTGGTTTGGTTGACGATTAGTGTTTCTATTTCTGGCTTCTTGCCAGTGGTTGTTGTAGTTGGGGAGCATAATGAAAATAACTTGGGGTTAGAAGGGAATGTACAGCGGATGTAACAGGAGGAAACTGTATATGCTAGCGTGAAAATGTTTGGATCAAATTATGCAAATAAGTCAAACTGGGTTTGGGGATATATAAAGCAAGATGAAAAATGCAAAAAAATATATATTTAGGTGATAAATAACGCTAACAATGATGTGAAAAATTATAACAAGTAAAACAAAAACTTACGCAATTGACACGAACCGGTTTTCGAAATATTATCCTTTTTCAAGTGTCGAGGAATGGTTAAGATCTCGGACAAGTTCTAACTCAAGGCATTTTCATTGAGACATGTTAAGCATGTATATACTGATGGTATCTCAGTCAAGTTAAAATTTGTG